CCGGGCGCGGAGACGTCGCCGCCGGCGCCGTGCGAGGAGCCGGCGGCGGCGCGCGCGAACGTCCCGGCCGCTGATTGGCTGCGGCGCGGCGGCCGGCGGGCCGGCCGGCCTGCGCTTTCTTACCTTCCCGCTGGCTCCGCGCCGGCCGCTCCGCCCGTGGGGACGCTTCGCGCTGAGGCGAGGCGAGCGTGCCGCCCGCCCGCCCGCCGGTCCGGCAGCAGGAGAATGGCGGCGGCGGCGGCGGCGGCGCTAGGGCTGCCCGCGGGACTCCCTCTCGCCTCCCGCTCCGTGTGAATGGTGAGTGAGGGAGGGAAGGCGAAGGGCGGGGGCGGCCGTGTCTCCCCCACCCCGGCACCCGCCGGCGCCCCTCCCCCTCCCCCATCTCGCCTCGACATAAGCAAATGATCACGATCATCTTCATCTTCATCACCCCAGAGCATGACTTGGCCCGAACCAATAGTCAGACAAAGGCATATTTCATAATAATAATGCGATCGTAGTCAAAATCTTTGGTGGAGGGAATCCATACTAATCACAGAGGCGCTTCTCCTCCTCCTCAGTAATATTAGGAGATTATGATATAGTCAGACCAAATATTCAAACCATGTAATGCAGCATGATAGTGATGATAATATTAATATCAATAATGATGATATCAGTAATGATGGTAATAATTATATGGTGGCGTTGGTCATCATAATGATCAATAATGTAACAATATAGTATGATTTGATCAGAATAAATGTTCAGACCAAATAGCCCTGCTTAATTATATTTGGTTGTATAATAATGATAATAATTACAGTGATAGCCATAATAGGAATTACAGCAATGCTACATTTATAATTGTTAATACATGGGGGGGGATTACTGTTACCATTACAGTAATCCCCCACCCCAGAGTTTCTCATTGCCAGCTTTTCTCGAGACATTTAGATCCTTTAGGCAGGGCAAAAGGGTAAGAAACCAAACCCAAATGGAACTTGTTCAGTTCCTTCCAGCCCCTTCCTCCAGCTCAATGTAAAGAGCATTATTTTATACTGCTTTTGAGTTAGTATTCTGAGCTAGCCAAGTGTCAAAGGCTTTGGTTTTAATTGTTTGTCCTTGTATTAAGACCAAAGGATTTGACACTTGCCAGGCTTTGGATGGTCCCTCCAACACACACTTCTGTTTCCATCCCCCTTTCAGGAGGGCTTCTCCAATGTGATACCCTCCAGAGGTGTCATCACCTCCCATAATTCCCTCACCACACCTCACCTCCCATAATTCCCTTCAGCACCAGCTGGCACAACCATTGCTGGGGATGAAGGAAGTTACAGTCTGATCCAAATTTGAAGGGAGTCAAGTTACTTGATGCTTCAGCTTTGGGTGTACCAGGTCCCCTTTTCTAATGTCTGCTTGGCTCGGCTTTGGTAAAGATTTGCTTAGCAGGTGATGGGGAAAGACATCTTTCTGCTTGAGTTCCTAGAGAGCAGCTGAATATCAGGATGGACAGTACTGGGATGAATATAGACCTGACAGTACTGGGATGAGCAGATAGATCAAAGAACTTCATGCATTCATATTCAGCAGGATACTTGGTTTGAGGAGAACTTGTGGCTCAGGGGCAGAGCACATGCTTTGCTGTACCCCTACGAGCCTGCAAAATTGCAGTCACTCGGGACAGACTATCCTGGGCTACATGGAAAAATAGTTTGACCTGGTTTAATGCACGTTGCGACCTAGCAAATTCTTTGTTCATCCTTATGAGTTTCCCCTCATCCAGCCCCAATTCTGTTTTGTCCACATGTGTTGTCAGAAGTCATTCCTCCTCCCTCCCCCAAAATCCATATTAAGTCTGGTCTGATTAATCGGCCATCTAGCCTCACACATGGAACCAGATCCTTTTTAGTAACTGGCGATAACGTGCAATTAAACCGAGGATTTTGTGCATGCAAAGCAGGTGTGCTACAACTGAGCTAAAATGTTTCCCAAACATTATTTTAATTGGGTTGTCAAGGAAATATTTGATTTATTAATGAAATACTAGTATTAGGAATATTAATGAACACCCTCACATTCAAAATGCCATCTTCTTTAGCACATGAAGTACCCCAGCCCCTTCTTTCCCCTCAGTGCTCCAGATCCCATTCACTGTCCCATGCAGCTTCTTGCTTGGGGCCTTTTGTCCAGGCAAAGTTTCCCCCTCCCCTCCAAATTTCAGCAGCAGTAGAGATAGGTGTTTCAGGCACAGAAATATCTCTCCCTGCTCCCATCCACATTTCCGTCATGCTGCACATATTGTATGGCAAGGAAATGGAATGGAGCAACTAGGATTCAACCCAGTTAGCAGGATTTCTGTTGTTACGATCAACTCTCTCTGTGTGTATATGTGTAGGCAGCTGCACATGTATGTTTTAAGGATCCTGGGAGCTCTATGTATAAATTTGCGTGCACACAGATATTTCTGTGGAACCTTAAAAGCAGTAGCTCATTCATTGTCTGACTGGAGGGCAGGCTTGATTCTGCTGTAATATTGTCCTTGGGTGCAGTTCTTTCTTTCTTTTACTGATATACCACCTTTATTTCTGCAAGAGACCCAGGTCAGCTTACATAGCTCCACTGTATCTTCAGAACAGCAGCCCAGTATAGTAGATTCAGCTGAGAGTCAGTGACGGGCCCAAGGTCATCCGAGTGATCATCATGACCAAGTGGGGATTGCAGCCCAAATCTCCTCAGCCCTAGTCCAGCACTCTGACCGTAGGCCACGCTGACTCTCCATGTATTCCTTTGTTCATAGGACTGGGTGATAGTCATTCACATATAGAGTAATCAGAAGGTGCCCTTGGAGACATAATGAGGGTGCTTGCTACCTGCAGTCCTAGCTAGAGGATCAAGCCAACTCTTCTCTGTGGGTTCTTTCACCCCCTTAGTCTCTTCCTGGTTTCCATTTCTTGATCAGAGTAAAGTGTAGTTTTTGAAAGCTGGATTTTTATATGCACATCTTAACTACTTCCTTGGAGGAAAAGTGCAGGAAGTAACAAACACATAAGCAAAGATCCTCATGTCGTGGCCAGGCTCAGCTCTGATTTTATCATGGCTACTATGGATAAATGTATTTGCCACTGTATGACTGGATTTCCTTAAACACTGGGGAAATCAGGAGGGGATGGGAGTGGGGAGCTTTCAGAATAGGGAATTAGGCTTGTAGGCCTGGGCATCTCTTCTCTGGATGTTAAGCCCTTCTTCCCACACCTCTTCTCTGGGCTCTCTTCCTGGACAATTTATATTAGGAAAGTGAATGAGAAATTAATAAACACTTGCCTTCTTTTCTTAGTACTTATAGGCCCCCTCTGACATACCTGTTCTGTTTTAACAGCTTGAAAGCAAAGCATAATTTATAAAAAATATCCAATGCTATTTTAAATGTCTTGGGCTCTTTTTAAATATCCCCTTCTACTTATGGACTTGTATACCTTCATAATATACTGTGCTCCAGTTGTCTTGATTACATTCAATGTCTGTTATGGCAAAATGACATTTTAGAGAGCTCAGAGCTGGTAAAAGTCCTTTCAAATATTGCAAAATGCAGAACGGGCTTAGATGTTTGCTCTAGGCAGCGAGCTCTCACTACCTGGTAACAAGGCCTTTGTACAGCAGTCTTGCTTCGTGCCTGCTTCAGATTCCTGTATCTTCTGCATCATGTGAAAGAAACTTATCAGCATTTGGAAGTGTGCAAAATCAAGAAACTAACGTAACTGTCCATATGGATCAGAATGGGCAATTTGTGGCCTTCCATCTGTTTTGGTCTCTGATTCCCATCAGCCCTAACCAGCATAGCCAATGGTGAGGAGTTGAGAATTGTGGGATAAAAATCTGGAATACCACTAGATGCCTTCCCTGGTGTAGATTAACAGTTTTCTTAACTTCATGTAGTTCGAAGTAAAAGCATAGAAACAGGAGCTTTGCATTTCTCAGATTCCAGTTTTGATTAGAAAAAAGCTTGAACTATACTTCAGTAATACTATTTGTGTGTGTGTATGGGGAGGGGGGTTGCTGTGGCAATAATCTAGTCCATGTTGCATTCAAAAAGTGCTCCTGTACAGCTTCTATGAAGCTGCTTTGCACTGGTCTACTGCTCCATCAAGCTTCATGTTGTCTACAGTGACTGGCCGTGGCTCTTGAGAGTCTCAGGCCAAGGCCTTTCCAATCAGCAGCTGCCTGAGCCTGTAAAAGTTCTTACACAGTCATAGCCAGAGGCTTGTGTTTCACAGGGAAGAGTTAATTCGAAAGAGTAAATTGAGTTTGTTTGTGACATTACTGCTTCTTACCAAAGGGGAAATTACCCTGCAATTACATGACAAGTATGGCACCTAGGATAAAAGATACAGCTAATCCAGGTTCAGGATTTAGCTTTCAGAAAGTTCCTTGCTTTAAATAGCTGTTGCTGCTGCAAGATAAGCATGCTGCGACAGACTTCTCATGGAAAAACTGGACTCTTTTTTCTTCTTTCATAAAAGTGAAACCTTTTCTGCAGCCTGCACAGAGAATTGTTAATAGGTGGCTGCGAGGCGGCTGCTGTGGTGGCGGCTGCTGCTGCTGTTGTTGCTATTGTTGTTTCTATACTGCGCCACAACTGAAGTTGTCTGGGGTAAGCTAGCTTTGCTAATAAGAAGACCTGCAAATGTGTTCAACCACTCTCTGTGTCACTTTTTTTACTTACAGCTCCTTTTCTCTGCCTGCTGCTGTAATCTCACAGACGCCATTTGATCAACCAAACTGAAGAGCCATTGGCAGTACTGTGCTGTGGCTTCCTCAGTCTTCTCAGGCCAGTAGGTATGGGGAGAGTCCTGAGAGGCAGTTGTGGCAGCATTGCGCCGTGGGACTGCTGCGATACTCTAAGCCAGTGATGGCGAACCTTTTAGAGACCGAGTGCCCAAACTGCAACCCAAAACCCACTTATTTATCACAAAATGCTAACACTGCAATAAAACCTGAATACTGAGGTTTTAGTTTAGAAAAAACAACTCATACATTAACATCTTTTGTCTTAAAAGAAAAACACAATAACAGAGCTTTCAATGATACAAACAGATTTTTATTGAAAGGTAAAAGTTTGCATTTGGCATGCTTTTGCACAATTAATGCAAGCGAAAAACTTGTGTTAATAAAAACGAATGTATTAAAACTCACAGCCAGTCCAAGCAAATATATATATATCCTTGGTAGTGCACTGACTGGCCATGCGAAAGCTTAAATGAGTCACAGCTAATGAGTCATGACTCGTGATGTCATCGCCTGGTGCCACTTCTCCTTTC